ACATGAGAGAAGGCCATGCCTTCTCTCACCAGTTCTGTTCAAGAGAGTACTGGAAGTTCTGGCCAGGGCATTGAAGTAAAAAAAAGAAATACAGCATATTCAAATAGGAAGAGAAGAAGTCAAATTATTTTTGTTTGCAGATGACATGATCCTATAACTAGAAAACCCCATTGTCTCAGCCCAAAAGCTTCTTAAGCTGATAAGCAACTTCAACAAAGTCTCAGGATACAAAATCAATGTGCAAAAATGGCTAGCATTCCTGTACACCAACAACAGGCAGAGAGCCAAATCATGAATGAACTCCCATTCACAATTGCTACAAAGAGAATAAAATACCTAGGAATACAGCTAACAAGGGAAGTGAAGGATCTCTTCAAGGAGAACTACAAACCACTGCTCAAAGAAACTAGAGAGGTGACAGACAAATGGAAAAACTTTCCATGCTTATGAATAGGAAGATTCAATACTGTGAAAATGGGCATACTGCCCAAAGTAATTTATAGATTCAATGCCAGGCCCATTAAACTACCATTAGAGGAGAATATTCTTAACTGAGATAGGGAACCAGATTAGGATGAAGGAATATGGATTTCATTTTGAACACGTTGAGTTTGCAGTGTCTTTGAGACAAGTGGGCAGTGGGTTATCCAAAGGCAACTCAGAGAAGAGGTCTGGAATGGATATAAATGAAGAGGTGGAGAGCACACAAACGACCAGTGAAACCCTGAATCTGAATCCTGCTGTTGAAAGGCAGAGCACAGAATGGGAGAAGAGAGGAGGGACTTGGAGCCTTTAGGAACATCAATCTTTAGTGGCTTGGTAGAAAATGAGGTTGCTGAGGACACTGAAGAAGAATGGCTGAGAAATTCAAAAAGAAAGAAAATCCAGAAGAATGTGTTGGGGGAGTGTGCTGGTTCTCACAATGAGAAAGACTTCATAAGGGTATAAAGAGTCAGCAGTCACATGGTCATACAGACTGATATAAGCAAGGTCATCAGTTACTTAGGGAGAGCTGTTTCCATGAAGTAATGGTGATAGGAACCAGAAAATGGAGATGAAAAGCCATCATCAACTCTTCCGAAAATGTTGGCTGAGATGGAAAGAGAGGAAGGGTGTCAGCTGAGTGGGTTTGTAAGATTAGGCTATCAAGTTTTTCGGAGCTATATTTTTAAGATGAAAGAAGTTTGAACTTGGAAAATGGGGAAACCAGTGAGCAGGACTTTGATCAGAGAGGTAGGAGGAGAGACAGAAGAATATAACGACGAACAACAGTTACAAAGTTAAATTTTGATTTGATCTTGATTAAAATGAAAAGAAAATATGTTCTGATAAGACAACTTCAAAGGATAATCTGCTTGGCATATCTTGATAATTAAAAACACTATATTGGTTATTTCTATTTTTAGCAAGAGAAGAAAGAAGACAGATAACATTTATATCCCAGTGACTGAAATCACAGTGACCAAGAAGTAAGCTTAGAAATCAGCTAGAAGGGTCAAAGGTTTTATTTAAGTTAAAAGCTTTACATGTCATGTCTTGCTCTCATGAATTACAGCTTCTTTCTTGAATATTTACAAAAATAGGACAAGAGGCTTTCAAAGATATTCAAGTCTTAACTCCAAAATTTTGTTTGATCACCCAGGTCTTAACTCTCTCATTGCATGACTAACATATATCATATATAAAATGACACTTGTCAGGAAATTTCATTTTTTCTTCAGCTATAAAATATGACTTTTTAAAAACTCTATCTTCTCATTTCAGCTCTAGTTAACCTCACCAGCCTTGTGTTAATTATAAACATATTACACATAAATATAAATATAGATGTAGGAATAGATATATTAATTATAAAAATAGAACAACATAGTTATAGGCATAGATATACATACACATTTAAATAAAGGTATGATATCATGAGCTCTTCTTGTGATAAAAAAAAGGTGTAAGGTGCTTTGGGTATGGTTTACATTGTGCTTGTAATAGATTTTAATTGAAACACAATGAAACACAAGTTTTTCATCTGAACTTGATTTCTTCCATAGTATATAAATTAAGAAAGGAACAAATGAGAGATGAGATAACCCATGGTATTAAAGGCTACAGAGAGGTCAAGGGAGGAAATTCCAGGGAAAGGACTCATTCCTGGATGACAGGGAAGTTTGGTGGTCTTTTCAAGTGTGTTGCACAGAATAAGATATATGGGAGAAAATGACATTTCAGGGAAAGATTAGGTGGTGAAAAAGAAAAAGCTTGCAAAATTAAGAACGTAAAACATGAGGGTGTCAGTACTAAGGCAAAATTCTTTTGTAGAAGATGGGAGGGGAGAGACAAGTGGGAGAGATGAATACCATTGTATTAGTGAAAGATAAAGGGAAATGTTTAACATTGAGCTATTAGCTAGTGTTATCAATCACAGTCCCCAATTTTTATCTGTTTTTGACCTATTTTCATTTTCTTTGGGGTCTTCTGGGAACAAAGATATCTTTTTGAAGTCTCTATTCCCTTTCATCATTTAATAATTGCTTCTATTTTTCAGCATTTACTAAAAGGCTGTTTCTCAGCCCTGGGAATGCACTGGCATTAAAGGTGACAAACAGAAGCTGTACTTTGAGCTCTTCCAAAAAGCACTTCAGAAATCAAAGGCATTGCTATATTGTTACTATTCATTTTCTCCTTTCCCTGAAGGCTTGGCATGACATTATTTCGGATCCTCAAAGAGAAGTCTTCTCGTTTAGCCATTATACTAATAATCTGTGACTCTAAAAAAACAATGGATATAGAAATTGATCAACCTAGCCTAGTAATCTCCTCTTTCCCTTAGTTCCAGAGCTATGGATCTGAGCCAAGAATCAGAAATAGGAGCATTGTAACTCATTTCATCTTCCATGTAAATCATCCAGCAATGCATAAATTGTGAGGGAGGGCATAGAGCCAAGCCCATCAGCTCTGTGCAAACAGATCCACAAGCTCAACAGGCTTTGATAGCATGAGATGTTAATTCATGAATAATCCTTCCATGTTTTTACACTGTTATATAACCAGTTGCTTTTTATAATGATATTGAAATAATTAATAATTGGAATGATGAGTTGAGGACAAAAATATGAAGTTATTTTAAAAATAAGTAGTAAATATATCTAAGAAAAGTACCAATTGTTCTTCATCAAGACAAAATTGGATGGATCTTAACAACACTCAGAAAAAGAAAATAACTAGGAGAACTCCTACTTAACATTTTCCCTACTTACATAGCTCCTTATATCAAAGGTATCACCCATACGGAAGTATCTAGAAAAAGCCTGAGGGGACAGACTGTTTTAAACTCCAAATGTAATTCATACATGGCAGTTCATGTAATTGGAAGTCATCTATAGATGAGCAGGTTCTAAAATAAAACACTGTAACAGTAGGTGAATGTGATTCCAAGTTGTGACTGCTCAACATGTTCAGTAATTTGATTTAGTCATAGATAGGTAGACAGACAGACAGATACAGATGATAGGTAGATAGATAGATAGATGATAGATAGATAGATAGATAGACAGATAATGTAATGACAGGTATAAATAAAAGCAACTCAAGCTCTTTGTGTCTATTGACCAACTAGAGTTTCTTTACATCCTGACAGAGCTCACACAAATTATCGCAAAAAAAAATGTATTTCTAAATACGTCTGTTACTTGGAAATGAAACAGATGTTAGAAGTCTGCATGGTGACAATTTTAGAAAATAAACTAATATTAAATAAGCACATAGTTTAATAATATTCTCTTTTCCAATAGTCAGAATTAGAAAAACAGATCCCACTGAAACATGAAAATGTTCCAGAAGTTAAGACATAAAAACATCTTTGGATACCTGAAAAGTAAACTAAATAGGAAGCCTGTTTTTGTTTCTGAGTTAGTGATGACATAGATTAGAGAGCATGTTTCTTTAAAGACCAGAGTGCAGGCTCCATGTTTTGTTCACTGATATATCCCAAGATTCTAGAATAATATCTGGCACATGGCAGTGTTTATTATTTATTAAATTGAATTGTTGCTGGAATTCATAGCATGAAAATTGTAGGATAAGGTGTCCTCCACCTGATCTATCATTTAGTTTTAACTATTACTCTCAAGAAAAGATAAAAGTAGAAAACAACACTCATTTGTCACTTAATGTTTAGGAACAACTTGCCACACGTATCCTCATCCAGTTCTCTGGGTTCTGTACAGCCTGGAGGCAGCTGGGCACCAGGAGCCCACATTGCAACCCCTGTCTGATGCCTGACTCTGTTCTTAGCTGCTGTCACTGTTAAAGGTTAAGCTATGTCCCCTCTGCCCCAAAAATTCATATGTTGAAGTCCTAATCCACAATCTCTCAGAATGTGACCTTACTTAGAAATAGGGTGATTGCAGATGTCATTAGTTAAGTTAGGATTAGGTCATACTAGAGTAGGATAGACATATGATTAGCTGCTTTCTAAGAGAGGGAAATTTGGACTCAGACATGTACACAGGGAAAAGGTCATGTGAAGATGAAGACAGAGATCAGGGCAATGCTTGTACCCGCTGGGCAATGTCCATGATTACCAGGAAACCACCAGAAGTTAGGGGCCCCCTCACAGCCCTCAGAAGGAACCACCCCTGCTGAACCCCTGACTTTGGACTTCTGGCCTCTGAAACCATGAGGCAATAAATTCCTGTTGTTTAAGCCATCTAGTGGCACTTCATGGCAGTTCGCAGCACCCAGCTTGTGGTACTCATTTCTTCCGGCTGTAAGCAACCCTAGCAATCTAATACAGCCACCTACTTACTCCCAGCAGTTTGTCAGATGTCCTGCCAGGGTACCCGTAGCCCCGACCTTACTCCCACTGGACACTGTCTTGCACAGAGCTGAGAGTTCCCGAGATTGTCTCCCATTTATCCCAAAGCCTCCACAATTATATGTTGTCAATGTCTGACATGTTCTCCCCTCTAGTAGCACAGTAATTACATCTGACACCTTTCCCTTACCGTCTCCTGGCTTCTGTGCTTGAAGAGGCATTGTAACCTGGAGGGGGCGGTGGAAACCAGGACTGTCTGTAAAGAAATGACACGATAATAAACATGGTGCTTGAAAGGCTGATCACACCCACGTGTCTGAAAATAATCTGACAGTTAAAAAGGCAATGAGATTATACCAAGCCTTGGAAGTAAAATGAACACATTTCATATATGAAGTAGGAAGTAACTGTCCTATATTCTAGGCTCTGTTCCTCCAAGTAAACTTCTTTCCTCATTTCCTTTGGCACTAAGTAATGTGAACACTTCTTTTAAAAAGAAATCTAAAGCAAGCCTGAAAAAGAATAACAATTGTTAAATCTAGAGAGCAAATTCATATATGTTTATCATGTTATTCTTCCTATTTTTCTGTACATCTGAACTATTTTATAACAGAAATAACAATCTTTTACTCTACTCAAAATATATTTTTTTAAAAACTTTGACAGAAAACTCTGACCAGTAAGAATACTGAAAGCATAAGTGAATATCATAGCAGCACTACCTTCAGTTCTAACCTCAATTAGGAAGATGTCCTGATACCACTAGGACATAATTTTAATTGGTAGTAATAGCTAAGCAGAAAGACCAAGATCTGGATGAAAACTAAAGATATTCAGATGAGAATGATACACACTACAGAAGGAAAGGCATACAGGAAATCGGGCTTTAAATTCTTTGAGTAGGTCTATTCTCTGAGTCATCACAGAACTGAACTAAGACAAGGTAGGAGTCAATCAAGGCAGATTCCAGCTCAATGTAAAGAATAGATGATACCCAGACAAGCAAGTCGAAGATGTGTCCCAAAATAGTGAGAGTCTTATTGCTGGCTTCAGTGGCCCTGAATTATGCCTAAAATGTCAGAGGAAAGATTCTTACACTAGGTAGGAGATTGAACTAAGTGACCTAAAATTTCTCTTTCAAACTTAGGAATCTGTTTTCACCAGCAAAGTGTCAAGGGGTGTGAAATGTAGGTTCCAGGGAAAGAGGAGCCACATTTTCTGAGACTTTGCAGCTACAACAAAACCTTGTTGAAGGAAAAAATAGAATCAGTCACTTTTGTCTGGCAGCACATGGCAAAGTCAGCCAGTCCATCAACAAACATTGAGCACCTACCCTATATGGAGCATGGACCCAGGTGCAGACAGGGAAATTGGGAATTTAAAAGCAATGACATTTATAAATGCTTGTTTTCCATTTGCATCACAATTCGTAGCCCTGGGATTTTTTCAACACGGCAAAAATCTCTTGCACCATCATGTTCTGTCTCATGAAGATTATTTGGTCACCACTGGTCCAGCTGCTCCTCTGTGCCTGCTAATGGCATAGGACTCAGCATCAGCAGAATGTGGGAGACCATGCGGGGGAGGCCAGAGGAGGAGGCAAGAATCACACAAATACAGATGGATGTCTCCAGAAAGGGTCTTTGACTCTGTGTTTGGAAGCAACATCAGCCCAATCCACAGAGCAGAGGCATCGGTTCCAGATACAGGCTGGTTACAGAAGCATGGAAACACGTGGCCCTACATCCATCATTATTTCAGGTTAAAGCATTCCCAGCAGCAGGACTTCATGAAACATGCTACCTCAAGTAGTCTTCCATTTAACATGTGACCTTTATCATCTAAAACATTTCGTAGAAATTCAAGCCCCTAAAGGAACTGAAAATAAGACTCTATATTTGAGAAAGAGATTGTTGGGGGAAAGAGCTGAAGTTTGGGAACAGCAGAATGTAGAAGCTGGATCCCTGGGAAAAAGAGGAGGAAGCTTTCTAATGCTGCCTGGGAGTTTGGTGGGTGACTTGGTTCAGAAATTAATTAAAGAACAGTCTTCCATAGCGTATCAGCAAGAGGTAGACACAGTGAACTCTTTGTACCTTTTTTTCTTTACAGGAGTAGTAGCAGAAGTGGATGTTATGGTGCTGGAGGTGTTTGCATTCAACGAACCGCCAGGTTGCCTGTTTAATGACAAGAATAACAATTAATCACAGTCTCAAACTTTTCCATTTCACCCCACCTTTGACGTCTTAACGTCTACTCATATTCCTGCCTGCTCTCTGTTCATCACAAAATGTTTCACTTGAGGATGGAAAAACAGCCAAAAATCTTCTTCCTAAGTTGAATTCCTTAGTTTAGAAGTTGTCAGGTTCTCATATAACTAGCTAAACCTAAAGGAATAGAATAAAGAAGTGATTCATAAAATGACATTAACTGTCGGAAATTCTGACCAATCTATTCTCATGTGCTACAGATTCACATTTCTTTTATTCCTGTGATTATATCGTGACTAACTAATTATGTTGCAGTTTTTTGCATTAGAAGCACTATTGCTTAGGAAAACATTTTAAATTATACAATTTTAAGTCTCTATCTAGTATTTATTCATATATGCAGATCCTCAAAAAATGGAAGTGACTCAGGCCCATTTCAAGATCTGAGAGGTATGATCCAGTGTATAAATTACTTTATACATAAATAGGAATTCAAAAACAAAGTAAGTTTATAGATCTGTCCGATTTGGGCTGCTTATAACCACCAGCAGTACATTCCAGAGAAAATGTATTTCATTTAAACAGATTTTTAGCTCACCCTATGATTTCCCAATTCAATTTTCTCTGAAGGAGGAGGTGTAAATGTGAAGGGTAGGTGGGGGAGGAAGTGGGGTGTGAAGGAAGGGTTAATTATTGTGTGGGTAGAGGAAAGAAAAGTCCTGTGGGGAAAAAATAAGGAGTCTAGATTTTAATAAAGAAGAAGAAAGAAAGAATGACCTAAGCTTTGGTGTTTGGTTAGAGTAATGACTGGGAAACCTTTTTTCTGCAAAAGTCCAGAGAGTCACAACTGAACCTTTGCAGAACATTCTGGCATCTGCCTTCTACTACGTACTCAACTCTGCCAGGACAATAGGGGCATGGCTGTGTTCCAGTAAAATTGGCCTGAGGGTGGTATACGCTGGTTTTTCTTGAACACATACAAAGAAACATACTACAATTAGAAAGAATACATACAACTTTGTTACTCCCGATGATCTAAACGTGGACATGCTCCTGGTAGGAGAGAAAAAAAGCAAAGTTTTAACAATAAAGAATGAATATTTGCATCTATTTGGAATTATTCTTGAATATAGAGTTATTAAAAGTTAGACATTGGTTGAGAGAAATAGAAAGCATCATATTTGAATAAATTTAATGAGATTATTTCGTGATTTTGTTTCTTGTACTAGATTCCAAAGAAATTTTTTTTCTTCTGAAAATTCAGCATCTTTTAAGCCCAATGTTTTTATTTGTTGGGTTCAGTAATTTTCCCTAACAATAATAATGTAAAATTTGTATTTGCACCTATTTCATAATTTTGCCACCAGGACAACTTAAACAGAAAAATAAATGTGGTAAGAAACATAAATGGTGATTTGGAGCTACAAGTGCTCTTGATTTTTAAGCTAAACAACAAGGTTTTATTCTAGCCATGTACAGGAGTAATGATTTTTACTCCTGAATTTCTGCAATAAAAATATCGAGACTAAGAATTTACAGAAAGATATCACGTAGGTTTGAAGACTTGCAAGTACATAGGTAACACTTTGAAAAATATTATACTTGAGCCTTTCCCATAGTTAGTAGATACTGGTACCTATTGGTTAGTTGGTTATCCAAGGTATTGGCCTTATATGTTTTAGCAGCGTCCTTTCTGTCTGAGATCCTTTATAAAGAAACAAAACAAAAGTCTGGATAAACATTTAAGTTATCAAACTCCTTTCAGACCTTTTTCATGCTAGAATAACTTAACAACATAGCCTTTCTCTAGTAAAGAGAACCATTGTTCAAGTGTTACAAATTTAAAATACAAGGAAACTACTTATGACAAAATCTACTTATAAGGTTGTTTTAATACAGTTTGAAATTTTATTTTATTTTATTTTGTTTTTGGGAGCTGGAGTCTTGCTCTGTTGCCCAGGCTGGAGTGCAGTAGTGTGATTTCAGTTCACTGCAACCTCCACCCACAGGGTTCAAGCTATTCTCCTGCCTCAGCCTCCTGAGTAGCTGGAACTACAGGCATGCGCCCTGATTCCCAGCTAATTCTTATAGTTTTAGTAGAGACAAGGTTTCACCACGTTGGCCACACTGGTCTCGAACTCCTGACCTCGGGTGACCTACCTGCCTTCCCCTCCCAAAGTGCTGAGATTACAGGCATGAGCCACTGCACCCGACCTGAAATATTAAAAGTGTTACGCTTTTTGCCTGTCTGTCTTTCTGACTCATTGAGCATTTAATTCATTAATTATTTTCATTTACATTATTGTCTAATGATATATCTTGTCAATGACTACTTCCTATGTCAGTGAAAGGCATCAACAAAATACTTAAATTTTTTTAATGGTTTGTGGCATAGATAATATTATGTGTTTGACAAACACATTTTCTTTTCTTTCTGGGCAGTCAGGGAGACCACATTTCCTAACCTTCGTTGCCATTAAGTTGGGACCATGTGATTGAGCTCTGGACTAAAGAGTGTGGGCAGACGTGTTATCTGCCACTTCCGAACCCATTGTAAAGGCTCCTGGTGATCTTCCATGTGCTTTCTCCACTCTTCTACTACGGCTTTGGTATGCATGGGTTAAAGATGGCAGCATTCAAATACAGAAAGAACTTAGGTCTTTGAGTCACTTCATGGACTCCAGCAAATCATATTGGGCTCTGATGAGTCAAGCAATACCTTATAGTGTGTTAAACCATCTAGAAGAGGAAGGGGACTTGTTAAAAAGTTACTCTACCTTGACAAATTAGTTTACTTTGACTAATACATGTAACGAGTCTAAATTGTCACTAGAAATTTTAATCATTCTAATCTCATAGATCTAGAAAAGGTGTGTTTATTTGCTTTTTGTGTCAGAAAGCACAAATAAGGAAGGTTATCATTCTGTACCAATGGTGGGGTCTCATAACTTCAACCTCAGTTCCTTCTTTCCTTGTCTCTTACCTACTTATTGCTGGTCATTTGATATTCTTTTCTCTACCCTCCAGAACATCCCTATAAGGTAGGTGTAATGATTTTCATTTTATAGGTAAAGAAATGGAGTCTCAGAGTCATTTGTGTGGTTTTCTCTGGGCCACACAAGTAGAAAGTAGTCTATCTCCCAAGTTGTTCACTGGGATCCAATGTCATATATCTGATTCTGTAGTATGATTGTTCCCCAAACTCATATATTAGGCTAACATGCCTTCCTTTAGTCTTTGTTCTTCACCTCTCACAGTCTCTTTCATGCCACCCAGGGGAAAAATCTATCAATGGTAATAGAACTCTAAACAACCATTCCAATACATATGTTGATTTCTTATTGCTGGGAGAAATTAATTTTGTATTTATCCTGGAAATTAAATTTTCTGTCAACTTGTGATATAAAATAAGTAGTTTTAATAAAAATCGGTCTTGGAGACTTGCAATACCAAACAATGTAATTAGCAACATGATCAGAAGAGCCGAAGGAAAAGTTATACTTTCACAACAGAGCACTAGGGGGCCTCCTAACCTAGGTTTTCCAAATTAGTTATAATACCACCATCTCTGCATGCTACATACACATTTACATTTCTTTTGCGCACCTCATCTTTTACCCACATAAGCATATTTTAAAGGGAATTTTTCAAATATAAACTCAGTACTTTTCTCATATTCATCAAAACAAGTGTATCATTATTAAAATGAAAATGCACGCATACCAGATATATTTGATCATCTTCCTCCTAAAATTATGTCAGGTCTTAGATTTTGGGATGGTCTGTATTACAGAAGTTCAGCTCCTGCTAACAGGACTTGCCTTTCTTTACTGGCCCCTGTGTTCCCTTCCTCAAGTCCATTTCCACATTTAGTGCCTTGGGAATGAGCTGCCAGGATACTGTTCCCAAGCATACCACTAAATTGTGTAAATAAATCATGTAATCTCTGGGGCTGTTTCTAGGGTATAAAATGAAGGGCTTGGGCTATATTGGTGGTTTTAAATCTCAGCTGCACATAAGAATTGCCTTATAAGCTTGAAAAAAATGCTTGAGTTCCACCTCTGGCTAACAAAATCAGATTTAGGGGACTGAGGGGTAGTAGAACCAAGGTACAAATGAAGTCTAAGAGCACCGTCAGTGGTTCTAATTCATCACTGAGGCTGAGAATGACTTAACTACGTTGCCTGCAAGGTCTAGTCTATTTCCAACATTCCTAGGCTGTATCTCTGCTGGCCTAACATAAATGTTCAGACACACAGCCTACAAAAGCTTAGGTCTTCCCCCTTACGTGAGGTTCAATTATCTCACTTTAAAATTCATTCCTAGAAATGGGGTTTCCTTCTGTAATTAACCATCTGCAAGACCAGGATGAATGGACAGAAGTACTTTAGCTACCTCTTCACTATGCACCGCTGTAGAAATGAGATCTTGCATATATACTACACACTCATTTTTGACAAGGATGATAATTTTTAAAAGAGAAAGACCATCCCTTTAGGATCTCAGCCTTGACTGTCCTCTATTAGGATGACTGACGTGAAAGCCTAGGAATAGTGCAGAAGGTATATACATTTGTTGTATTAATTAACACTGGCATAGTCTGAGTTTAGAGTCTATCGGATGCTGCAAGTTACCACATATTTGCTTAAAACCCAGTAGGTGCCATTTTTGCCTACAATTGCAGCACATCTTTAGCTGCAGAGAGTAAACTCAACTAGCACTGGCTTTGGGTATTCATGGTGCCTAGACTCCTATTAAAGATGCGATCTTTGTCCTTTACTTATGCTTACTAAGCATCTCTACCAAATCTAAACTAAAAATGTGATTTGTGTTGGGAGACCACGGCGAGCAGACCACTAGGTCAAGAGATTGAGACCATCCTGGCCAACATGATGAAACCCCATCTCTACCAAAAATACAAAAATTAGCTGGGCGTGGTGGTGCATACTTGTAGTCCCAGCTACTCCAGAGGCTGAGACAGGAGAATCACTTGAGCCAGGAAGGTGAAGGTTGCAGTGAGCAGCGATCACGCCACTGCACTCCAGCCTGGAGAGAGAGTGAGATTCCGTCTCAAAAAACAAACAAACAAAAAACAAAAATGTGATTTGTGGCATTTATACTTCAACCTGAATAAAACTTGCTCTATTTTCCCTGTAGAGATGAGTCCTTTCCCTCCATGTAAGAAGGATCTAACAGGCACACATGTTGGACTCATTCTATCTGCCCTATGGGGACTCCAGGGCTGAAAGAGTATTTTCACTTTGTAAAGTGAAAGCAAAGAGCTAATATTTCTGTCCTGGAGTAGATTGAAACTATTGTACTATTAAAATTTGCAGTCTCTCCATAAAGCAGTTGCATAGACTGATGTTTTTCCACCATCCATGTGGAAAAACCAAATGTTGGAACAAGGATTACACATATTCACACCAAAAACTCTGTCTTATCCATTTTAAATTGAAATAACAGATTCCACATAGTACCCACCCTAGCTGTACTCAAATCAGTGTCTCTAAGAATTTTTCATATCAATCTACCATTAGCAAAATTTTAGAAATGCATCTAGTCAAGATTTAGTGACATTTGAAGAAGGTAATTCAATTCTTAGAGCCCTCCATCCCTTGGAATAAAATACCAGTGGTTCAAACCTTATTCTGGTAAACTTTTACATACTTCATAACTCTATGAAAAAAGGAATTAAGTATGTTATGCATTCCACTTACATGGTTCAAAAGCACCTTACCTGTCTAAAGTGTCATCAGAACTATACCGACTGATTGTAGCTTTGGGCACATTTCTCTCATTTATTTTCCTGTAGCAAAAATAATTACCAAAAAATTAAATAAATTACAAAAGATAGTTTATAAAACCTATCATACATACAGCAATATTTTGACCTATTAGAAAATTTACATGTTACCAAGGAAAGATAGATTTGGAGTACCCAACTCTTGCAACTTGGATAGAATAAATTATGGAAAATCTAATTTCCTATGCTAATAAAAGATTCTTCCCTGGCTTCAATTGTTTCTAACAACAATGTAACATATTCAAATTGGGAATAAGGATACGTAAAACATACAACAACACAACAAGCAAAATGGTTAATAACTAATATGTACTCTTGTCAATGTTGCTTATTTCTACATAATAGGAACTCAGTCTTTTATACTCAACTATGTTTTTGTTTACAGAGTTTCAGCAGTGCCATTAGCCAGCACCACAGACTAAATCCATAAATACTTTCTTTAATATTCAGCACCGTGGACAGGGTTGAAAGAAGGAAACTTACAGGTCGAAGGAGGTGGAAAGACAGGAAAGAAAGGAAAGGAAGGAAACAGGAAAAGCTGGACAAGATGAAAAGAACATGTGGGAAATGAGAGAAAGAAAGGATATGAGGAAAAGAGGAAGAGAGAAGAGTGACAGGAAGAAGGAAAGGAGAGACAGGGGAAAGAGAGGAGAGCAAGACAGATGAGCAAAAATGCGGGGGTGGGGAGCAATTTAGAAAATAACTGAAAGGAGGACAGAAGGCTCAACAGAGGGACTCTTGAAAGCAGAGGAAAGATCTTGATCAGATTGATCAAACTAAAAAGCTTGTTTAATGCCTCATATAACCCTATGATATAAAGCAAGCAAGCTCTTTAGAGAGTTGTCCCTTATTTACTGTGTTTGTATTTCCAAGTGTAATTTAAAGCCAGTCTATTCAAAGTATTGCATTAGAATAAGTACTAAGACTAGATACTAAAGATTTAATTTTAAACTTGATATGGTATAGTTTCACTAACCAACTATTTGGATGTACTCAACATATAAAGTACTAGGAAGAGTGCACAAAGTATATTTGCTATATTAATAGTGCAGAAAGTAATATTTGTTATATTAATCAACACTATTGTACTGATAAGTATAAGAAAATCTAGAATAAAATAACTATAGCTGCTATCCACACAGAGCAAGAGAGGCAAATCAGATCTGTACATCCAAAGGCAGAAGGTAGTCAGTGCCATAAAAGAGGTTTAGTTAACGTGTAAGGAAGTTCTAAGCTGGGAAAGACGATTTCTAGGTATACAAACCAGAGAAGGCTTTATGGAATGCAGTGCCGTTGGAGCTTGGCCTTGGAGGAGAAATAGATGTGAACATTTTCAAATAGAGGTAAAGGGAAAAGTATCAGTTAAGGCAAGAAAAAAGTGAAGAAAAATGCCTAAGACAACCCCCTCAACGTTTAATACAACCTCAAAGTGAAATTATCGTGTGGTTCACCATCATGTGTAATGTGTAAATGCAAACAGGTACTGGGGGACCATCTGACCCCTTCCAGAAAACAGCCCCTCCCCAGAACCATCACTGTGTCTCCAGGTGACTATTGTCTTCCTACTGCTTATCACAGTAAGGCGTGCTATTACGTGTTATTTTCATTCTCTCCTCTCCCTCACTTTCAACTAGGATGCAAGCTCTGTGGAAGCAGGGGCTTGGTTTTGTTTGCAGCTCTTAACGCAGCCACTGGTACACAGGAGCCCTCCCACAGGTGCTATTTGGCTATCATCCTTATTTGACATGTTTAAAAGATCGACCAGAACATGTGCACAGTCACACGTTCCAATTGTGGATAATGTGAAGGTATTATCTAAGGTGATGACAGCATAGCATTTATTTTCCTTTATTATCAGTCACCACTCATGCTAGCTCCCTGCACACATTGTCATCCCTGCTGAAGGTGCTTCTTTCCTTGCTGTATGCCCACCAGCCAGCCTTGCCCATTTGGGAAATTTTTCCTCATAATCCTTCAAGCATCGCCAACACCAGACCACTTCTGTGGTGAGGCCTCTGATTATTTAGGCAGAGTTAGTCTTCCCTCCTTTCTATTCCCGTAGTGCACTCACACAACTCTACCATAGCACTTTCCATGGCAAACTTTAGTATTTTCATTTGTGTATCTTTTCTCATGAATACAAGAGCTCCTAAGGTCAAAGATTATGTTCTACGCCTCTTTGCATTCCTGGCACCTGGCACAGTGCTGACACATAGGGGGTGCTCCAAAGTGGTTGTTGAGTGGGCATCAAAGCAAAGACAGCCTCCACAGAGCAGAAAATATGACAAGTGATATCCTCTTAGCAAGTACCAAGGGAAAAACAATCTGCCTTACTCTTTTAGGGAGATTGATTCTGTGATGTTAGTTACAGGTCAAGTGGGAAATGTCTAGGGCTTACAGATTTTTGTTCCTTAAAATACTGATACGCTACTTCGGCCACAATGCTGGCCACCACAAGGAAGGGTTCAGGAAACTGATGCAATTAAAATATGAAATAAGCATGAAATGCATTAAGCTCCTGTTAACCTAAAACACACTGTATGTACACTAAGAACATGAAGCGTATTTCACACTTAAAAAACACAAGTATCTGTGTTCTTTAATCATTCCACAGAAAGGTGAATGAATAACATGGAGGCAGCAATTTCCATTGGTGGCTGGACTCAAAAGATGAGCCTCTCCTTTGTTGGTGAGATGAGGGCCAGCTGACAACCAGGCAGTGACCTTCAAAATCATAGAGACTAAGGACAGGGCCTCGGCAGAGTCTGCCCGATCACAGAATGGTAAATCAGATGAACCAAAGCTGCATCAGGAAAACAAAACAGCGACTCTAGGTGGAGGGTTATCAGCTCAGCACCCTTAAAGCAGGTCAAAATTATGAAAAGGTTTAAAAGGGTTGAAAGAAATTCATAAACAAACATTTCCAAAATAGATATGTCCCAGGTGTCTGCTTAACTTTTTAAGATCCACACCATAGAAGACATTCACACTCCCTTTCTAAGTACATTTTAATGACAAACAGACACAAGCTACTAGACCAGATAAAACTTGTGTCTGATAAATAATCAGGTTCTTCTGATGGATGCGGTTGTTTACATGCATGTGGGCACGACTGTATTTTAGTAAGAATATTTTCTATTTTTTTTTATCAATCTGAGATGATTTACATCATTGTGATTACTGTTTTGTCTTAACTTTTCTATAATTTGCTTTGATCAGTCTATTTGCCACTGAGGATCAATTCATGTTTTCCCACTAGCCCAGGAGTTTCCAAAAAAGAAAGGTACTGTCCCATAAAGCAAATGAACTCTGGAGTCATTTCTGTATTTTAAGATGTCTTTCCCTAAGATTCAGAGATGTCTGATCCGGTCATGTTGCTGTTGTTGTTTTTGTTTGTTTGAGAAACAGAGTCTCCTTCTGTCACCCAGGCTGGAGTACAGTGAGGCATCACTGCTCACTGCAGCCTCAATGTCCCAAGCTCAAGCAATCTTCCCACCTCAGCCTCTGGATTAGCTGGGACTGCAGGTGTGTGCCACCACACTTGGCCAATTTAAAAAAAAAAATTTATTTTGGTAGAGACAAGGTCTTGCCATGTTGCCCAGGCAGATCTCGAACTCCTGGGCTCAAGTGATCCTGCCACCTCAGCCTCCCAAAGTGTTGGGATTACAGGCATGAGCCACTGCACCCAGCCTGATCTGGTCATGTTTCTATGAAAGCCTTTCCCTGCCTGTTAGGAGGACCGCCTCAGTGGGATGCACAGAGGGTTAGTTGTGTTCTGCCTTCAAGTCATCATTCTGGAGAGGCAGAGTTTCCCTGTGGAAACCTCTGATGATATCACAGGTTCTCCTTCACATGCCCAGAACATCAGGGAAAGCCCAAGACATGCCACAAATATTCAGCTGTCTTGAACAAGTCTTCCCTGAAAACTATCACCTTTGTGTTTCTGCCCGTGATGTACCATGTCTGAACACCCACCTGTCCAATGCATCATGGGAATTATGTCGGCTGAGCACCACCCTACCATAATTTTCATCTCTGCAAAGAAAAAACAAAAGTATGTCACACAGAAAGTTACCACAATATTGGCTAAACACTAAATGAGAGAGACATGCAGGCGAGCTCACAATTTTTGGCAAGGTTAATTCATTTTACTTCAGTTGTGAGAACACAGAATTATGTATCCATTTTAACCAGTCACCATTTGACAGAGCATGAGAAAAGACACAAGTTTGTCCATACAAATGATCCTTTATCCCATGAGATTTCCACATGATTCAACAATGAATGAGTGTGGTTTTGTTTTGTTTTGTTTTGTTTTATCAGAGTGTGAGAATATAAGCCCATTTACTTTACATGTATTATAAGAGTCCTTTTTAGCATGAAGGCAAATACATAACCTTTCCAGTTTTGTTTACACTTAAGTAAGCTCATTATGTCTGGATATGTTGGTAGATTTGACAGTCCTCCTTCATAAAATGTGGGAAACCCAGTACCAATAGTTGTGGTTAAGGAGATTAATAATTCACAGGCGATCTAGCCCACTTTTGAACCACAAAAATACAGAGTTTTTACTAGTCTTAAAAATAATCTTATGAAGTAGGCAGAGAAGACACTGTTATATCCAATTCATAGACAAGAACATTGATCGGGGATTTTGTGGCTTTTCTAAGACCACAAGGTTGGCAAGTAACAGAGGTGGGTCTAGGACCTAGATCTTTTTATTTGAGACCATTGCTTTTCCTACTGGGCAACCCTGCAATAGACTTTCATATGTAAAAATCTCAAAGTAATATCATTCTTATTTTGTACAGTGGAATTGACAGTACGGGCACTTTTAGGAAATGTCAAAACATGTAGTGAAGTCTTTGGATTTGGGCCAAGGCAGAAAGTACTTGAATCTTTTCCATGTCAATGCAACCAAACTGGAAATACCACATTATTCCTGGTTATGCTCCACTAACATTACTCAACACTCTCACACCATTTTTAATGAAGCTACAAAAGAACTGTAATAGACAATTAAATAAAAAAAGAAACAGTAAAACCAAAACAATGCCAGAAAATATACACCCTCAAAGATCCCAAGAGAATTTTCCTATCTTCCTTCATATCCCTTCCTGAAACATTTGAAAGAATAGCAGATACCAGGCATGTTTTTATCTGAGAAAGCATTATAAACCACAGCCCAGAACTGGGCCAGGGGGAGTCAAGGAAGCATCAAAGCCAATTTTCCCTTCATTCAACAGTTCCCATGCCATCCAAGCTGGCTTCCCTGGGTTTTCTTAGGGAGGCATACCTGGCATAAAAGCAACATTTCTCCCAACTGTGATTTGTCTTATACATTTTATCTTCACTCGTCTGTGTAAATATTTGCAATCCAAAATGTATGGTCTACATTTGACATCACACTATCATTACAGAAAAATGGAAACGCTCTGACAGAAGCAGTAAATGCTGTTTGATGGAAGGAAATGATTGTTGTCCAATACTGCTAACTCCAAAAGTTAGTGTGAGCCTCCGAATCTCTAAACATACCTATATTTCCTTGTAACAGTAATATTCAGTAACAGAAATTAATAGATATTTTAGATTTAACATTCACAAGGATGCCCCTCAAATAACCATATCTGCAGAGTTTGTAGATAGTTTAGAGTAAGTATCCTATAATGCAGGATTTCCCAACTTCAGGATTATTGACATTTTGAGTTTGATACTTTCTTGTTGTAGGAGCTGTCCTATGAATTATAGGATATTTAGCAGCATCCCTGTTCTCAACGCACTGAATACCAGACGCACTCCCCAATTTTGACAACAAAAATGTCTCCCGACCTTGTCAAATGTCTCCTGGAGTTAAAATTTCCCCTGGTTGAGAAACATTTGTGTAATGGAAAAACAATGGGCTGTGTTAAAATCTCAACTCTATCACTGAATAGCTATGAGCCATTAGACAAGTTACACAGCTTCTCTGGGCTCAGATTCCTCTTTTGTAAAATAAGGAGATATAATACCTGCCTTGTGTTTCATTGTAAAATTAGTGGGGCTTTAAATGTAAAGTATCTAGCTTAATAACCAAGCTTAATAACAAAGAAGTCAGAAAATGTCTACATGATTTATAACATACACATAACATAATATATATCTGGGCTGGACAAATACCTATTGCAAATCTATATTGGCAATAAAGCTATATGCCTATGGCCGTAGTTTTCAAATCTTTAAACCTCTCAGTTAGCAATACTCAAAACAAAACTTTGTTGGTGGTAGGTACTTACAAAGGAATGCCATATATCTCACCTTCCCAGTATCTAGAAGTAGATGGCACTAAAATAAGTTGGGAGTTTTTAAAAATTTCTCTTGTATATATCAAAATTTTAGATATTAAATTTGGAATTATGCTATTTTTATTTGTTTCAGCTGACAATGATCAACATAGCAGCAATTGCCCGATCATAGATTAACTGTTACCTTTTTGGAAACTGGAAAATCATGTTTTCTTTTCAGTTTACCAAGTAAGCACAAACATCTATCCTAGGTAACAACCAGGGTAATGACTCAGGTTCTCTTATGTATGTGGATGTTTAAAATGGCAGAGAGATTCTTGAGACTCTGATGTAACCTATCTATGGTTACTACATCTTCCCAAAAATTAGACCACGCAACAAAGTATTTCAGGATAAAAGTATTCCCTTTTCAGATTAGCTTCCCAAACAGAGAATGCCTCTCTCTGCTCCTCCCTCCACCCACCATGCTCCACACCAGCTTACATTTCTTCTTCAGGACGTTTCTTTATCCAACTGTTATCCTGTAGGAAAGTTCTTCTTTTGTTCACCTCGTGAAAATCCTGCTGCTTCCGTGTGGCTCCCTGAGTGCTGCTCTTCATCTCTATCAACAGAAACATGAAAGACTGGAAGATGTAAGAGTGAGGAGTTGAGTGTGGGCTTGTTAACCTGAAAATCCTGAGAGGCACATCTGATTGGCCAGCATCAATCTTCTAGGCTGGCAAGTCCAGCACTGTTTCAAAATAGGATGCACCAGCAAGAAAGAACAGATCCCACACCCCATCACCAAAGATAACATATAAAGTTGCTCAGGTGCCAACTGAAACTCTCAGTGCCACTCATGAGGCCCCATCCAGCTCCTGGGATAGGAGAACTCCCAGCCTGGGATAAACGAAGCCAGGATTTAGTGGGCTGGCCATTTAAGAAATATACCTTGTAAGCTCACAGAGGACTGTTTTTATAACATCTAGTAAGTAATAGTCAATAAGTCCTGGCTCATTTGATTCTAAGTAACTTAATCGTTTTATCCTGTGAGAGCCAAACACAAAGAAGATCACATTTTTAAAAAGATATTTTTATTGGTATTTATTGATTTTTTTAAAAATCCTGAATTTCAATTACATAACTAAAAGCTGTGGCATTTATACTTTTTCTTAAGTCTAACTTTGCAATGCTAATTAAATTAGACTGTTGTTTCTAAGCATTCAATATCTGTATTAAATAATTGAGAACTGTGAATTGTTTTTCTGAAATGTTAACGTTTTCTGCATAAAAGAAATATCATGTACATTACCATTTCCTGTGAGAGACGTTTTTCTCAAAGTAACATTGGACATACTGCCTTCTAGTAAGGACCTAAAAGAAAAATGGGAAATAGAGAAAGCACAACAATGACTCTAAGAACCTGTGACTCTTTCATGACTGAGATTCACTTTTCAATGACAGTGACATAGTCACATATCTGTCATAACACATGCCTGACATAAAGTGCCCCTCAGAATCTGAGAGCTCATCTCTTCCAATATATTTCTTTTATAGATGGAGAAAATGAGGCCCAGGGAGTTTGTGTATCCAGTGTGTTATATCATAAGCAATTGGTTGAATTAGGCCGTCAATTAATTCAATTATTCAATCAGTAATTATGCATTGGGTGTTTACAGTGTGTCTGGCACTGAGCCTGGTGTTGGGGACAGAAAAATGAGTTAGACAAGTGTCTGGTCATGGTCAAGAGGGAGAGAGAGAGATTGTGCTGGAATGCACAGCACACTGTGAATGCCCAAAGAAGGGCTCCTCAGCTCCTTCCTGAAATAAAGCCAAAGAAAACTCAGGAAACTGCTGTATGATTAGAAGGAAAGCAGCCAGGCACATGGAAACCACAGACTTGGAGAAACACTGGCGATTTTTGTTGTTGTTGTTTTGAGTCAGAGTTTTACTCTTGTTGCCAGGTGGGAGTGCAATGGCATGATCTCCGCTCACTGCAACCTCCACCTCCCAGGTTCAAGCGATTCTCCTGTCTTAGCCTCCCATGTACCTGGGATTACAGGCAATCACCACCACACCCGACTAACTTTGTATTTTTAGTAGAGACAGGGTTTCTCCATGTTGGTCAGTCTGGTCTTGAACTTCTAACCTCAGGTGATCCGCCCACCTCAGTCTCCCAAACTGCTGGGATTACAGGTGTGAGCCACTGCACCCCGCCAACATTGGTGATTTTAGGCAACCGCTGTACGGAAAACTCAAAGTTCCTGAACTACTGTTCTGATGTTAAGGGGTTAAGGTAACCCGCAGCATCAGTCTGCCCAGCACTGATCCAGTTCCCCAGAGCTGAATTATGACTCTGTGGGTCCTAGGCACTTTTGCTTTCAAGGTCTCTTCTTACTCACATAGGCGTACACACACACAAATTTAAAATTGTATCTTATGACTATGTTTGTATGAATATAATCCTGGCTGGCTTCATTATTATTATTATATCAATATTTTAACTTCTGTTATCAAAAGAAATTAAAATTAGAATGCTTTTGTGGATCACAGTTGTATTGTGAGGCTTTGTGCACCTTAGTTAGCTCTGGGTCTTCCTGAAAGTGGGACTTTCAGTTTTCAAACCGGAAAAGTCCTGGGCAAACCTGGATAGCTGGTCACCCTAGGTGGGGTATTACATCCTTTCCAGTGTCCATCTCACCCAGACTGTGCATGAAACATAGGAGTAGCATTCAAGCTCAAGTCAGAAGCAACTTTTGGTCCATTTTTATCACATTCAATGTCTGAGAATGAGCCACTTAACCTCCCTGCAAAATGAGGTTATTGAAACCTGCCATCTATTTCCTAAGTCGCTGTGATCATCAAATGAATCATGTGCACAAAAAGTCACTTTGTTAAACTAAAAATGCTATTGGATTTTAGGCAGTATTATTGGACAGCAAAAGCCCCCACATCCTATCCTCTAATACAAAAGTATTTCTTGCAACTTCTAGGACCTGAAGCGGGAAAGACACCCTTCTTTGGGTCAAGAAATTATTTTCCTTGGGGTCTCCTTTCAGAATGTTAGCGGCACTGCAGAAGATCAGAGCTGGAGGCTGTAAGTGTCTGGCCCGGTCCCTCTCACCAGTCTGAAGCTTGGCAGCTACAGGCCCATGACTTCACCTTCCCTGAGGATTTGTCCTTCACTGGTAGGGCTGCCTGGTTACACAACCTCCCCACTCACTACAACCTGGAGCCGGTGACTGACTGACCCAAGATAAAAAAAGGTGAGACCCTTACCTCAAGGTAGAACCAATTCTGTGCTGTGACTTGCACTTCAGAGCTGGGATCCGGCTGTAGATCAACCAGCAGAGAGCACATCCTTGCTCACTTCATTCCCCTGCCTCCCCCTGCCTCTCTCCCTTCTCCTGAAAGCACACCCTCAGTAAGTCACAAGCACCCGAATGCCTCTCAGAAACTGCTTCAGGGAAACCTGACCTAAGATGAGGATTAGCAACCAATGTATCCATGATGACCATTACCTTCACAGGGACCAGCAGCTGTTCACTGCATGAATAGCTGAGAGTTTGAATGTCTTAGTGGAGTTAGAAAGACCTACCTCTAAGTGATGCTGTTTACTGACTGTGTCACCTCGGGTATGTTATTAGCTCAGGTCTCTTATTTGTATAATGAGGTGAAATAGGAATATTATGAGGTTCAAATATTACTAGATAACAAAAGTAAAGTGTCTAATTATTGCCCAGCACAGTAGGTGCTCGATAATTTTTTTTTTTTTGAGATAGCGTCTCATTGTCACCCAGGCTGGAGTGCAGTGGCACAATCTCAGCTCACCGCAACCTCCACCTTCCAGGTTCAAGCAAGTCTCCTGCCTCAGCCTCCCAAGTAGCTGGGACTACAGGTACTCACCACCACACCTGGCTAATTTTTGTATTTTTGGTAGAGACAGGGTTTCACCATATTGGCCAGGCTGGTCTCGAACTCCTGACCTTGTGATCTGCCTGCCTCAGCCTCCCAAAGTGCTGGGATTACAGGCGTGAGCCAGTGCAACTGGCCTATAATTTTTTAACTTCATGCCTCTACTCTATCACCTTGGCAAGCAGAGAGCAAAGACATAGGAGAGGATGTGGGAAGGGATGGAGCAGACTTGAACTTGGGCAGCCGGGCACGCCGGGGGTGTCAGGGATCCCCTGGCTGGCTGTGTTTGGAGGCTGCATAAATAAACTCTGGCAGAAATGAAAGTAAAGAAGCACCTAAAGGCAAACTTAAAGCTCAGCTAGTGACTAATTTTGCCTCTGCCTGAGAGCGTGTCTCAGGACTCTTGGCTAACCTCTTTCCTGTTCCTAAATGGGCTGTAGTATATTTGTTTTCCTCTTAGCTAATAAAGACCTGGAGAGTTCTCAGCTGATTGAACTGGAATTCTCAGGGGGTCAAAATGCTGAATGCATAATTGATGATACATCTGCAAAGACGGCAAATGCAACCGTGAGACAAAAGGGAGGGTATGTGGATAAAGGGTATTTTACAATTATCTGCGTATTTGTCTGTCCGTCCCAAGAGACTGCATGTCCAGTGGGCAAGGCTGAAATCTTTTCCTCCTATTCCCAGCATCTGGGAGAGAGTCGGTGCTCCCTGGGTGCTTGTTATTGGCCAACTCATGTTCCTCCAAAGTTCATATGTTGAAGTTTTCACCTCTAGTATCTCAGAAGGTGACTGTATTTGGAGATATGGCCTTTAAAGAGGTGGTTAAGCTAAAATGAGGCCCTTACAGTGGGCACTAATCCAATCTGACTGGTGACCTTGTAAGAAGAGAAAATCTAGAAACACAAAGAGACGCCAGAGGAAAGGCCATGTGAAGACACAGCAAGAAGGTGGCCATCTACAGGCCGAGGACAGACACCTAAGGAGAAATCCAAGTCTGCTGATACCTTGATCTTGGACGCCCAGCCTCCACAACTGTGAGGCAATGATTTTCTGTTATTTAAATCGCCTCTCTGTGGCATTTTTTTATAACAGCCTAAGCAAACTATGGAGTACTTATGAAAAAAGTAATCTGAAGAGTTATAAAATTGCCAAGTCATTCAAAGAGCTTTGGGCCACACTGCCCCCAATCTATGCCCTCTGTGTCTTCAAATGGTCTATTCCACAGGGCAATTGCTAACAGAATAGAGATCCACTGGTCTTAGTGGAGTTAGGAAGACCTGCATCTAGGTGATACTGTTTATTGACTGTAGCATCTTGGGTATGTTATTAGCTCGGGTCTCTTATTTGTATAATGAGGTAACATAGGAACATTGCACTGTTTGAGCCCCTGAACAGGTGCCCATCCAAGCATTGTCTCTCATCCTCACAGAAACTCTGCAGGATGCTGTTGGTACTTCCAACTACTAGATGAGACTAATGGAGCTCAGACAGAGGATGCAACATATCCAAGGTGTTAAGAGGCTGCATCGGGCTTCTAAACCAACCCATGCCCTCCTCAGCAAATAGCAGTTATTCCCATCAGGAGTCACTGCCAGACTAGGCTGCTGCCCTGGTGTTAGAGTGAGAGGGGGAATGTGGATGCAGGGGCTTGCCTGGCCCTGGGCATCTCACTCATTGAAAGTCCCATGAGCTCTGGCAAGTGCTTGGTACGAGGGAAGCCTCTCAAGGAACGGTTGCAGCAAATGAACTCTCACCTGACAGCCTTCTCTGTGTATTCCCCGACATTCCTTTGGTTATAAAACATGTCCACACAAAAACTTGTACATGAATGGTCATGGTAGCACATAGAACAACCAAAAATTAGAAACGACCCAAATGTCCATCAATGGCTAAATGAATACACAGCATGGCATGTCTGTACAATAGGATATTACTCAGCATAAAAAGGAATGAAATACAGATTCATCCTACAACGTGGATGAAACTTGAAACACTGAACTAAATGAAAGCAGCCACGCACAGAAGAGGACACATTGTATGGTTCCATTGATATGAAATGTACGGAACAGTCACATCCATAGAAAAGAAAGTAGATTAGTGTTTTCCAGGGGTTAAGGGGAGAGTTGAATAGAGTGACTGCTAAAGGGAATAGGGTTTCTTTTGGGGGTAAAATTAAAATACTCTGAAATTAGATAGTGGTGAGATATATATATATTAGCAAGGTTGTACAACCATCAGCACAACACTCTAATACTCTGATTGAAGTCAAAGTCCCTGGGACAAGCACGTCCTTTTGTGCTCCCTGTCTCTTCTCTGAAACTAAGGTGGCTTGCAGGAGGGAGGAGCAGTCCTCTTGGGCAACCAAAGGGACTAAATTCACACATGAAAAATAACAGAGCAGGAAGTTCCTTGACAGTATCATAGAGTTGTCATAATAGCCCACATATTATCTA